GAACTACCAACCTTTCAGGAAGTAATTGAGCATTTAGCCATACACAACACCTAGGGGAACCAGTAGAACATTAGTAACAAAAAAACCCAAACCCACTGCCATTGCGCCTATTCTGACTCACAGTGACTTACAGGGCAGAGTAGAACTGCCCCATAGGGTTTCCGAGGCTGTAAATCTTGCAGAAGCAGACTGCCTCATCTTTCTCCACAGACAACTGGTGGGTTTGAACTGCACTGCTAACCTTTTGGTTAGCAGCCAGATGTCTTAACCATTATGCACCAGAGCTCTACAGACCATAGTAGGCATTCAGTAATTACTTGTTGAATGAATAAGTGAAGCACCTGTTTGCACAGAGCCATGTGCCCAGAATGCTGGAACAGATAACAAAGGCTACAGAAGGCCAGCAGGAGGAGGGAAGGGATTTATTCTCAGGCCCATCTCCCAGCCAAGCCCTGGGGACTCAGCAGTGACCAAGACAGACCAGGTTCTGCTTGCGTGGAGCCCATATTCTCATGTGGGAGATGGGCAGTCAGTGCCAAGGCTGGGGAATGCAGTTGGGCAGTCAGGTGGGAAGCAACATGAGCTAGAATGGCTGAGGTCACTTCTTTAAGCCAAAGCTTGAGTAATGAGAAGGAACCAGCCTAGTAAAGGTTTGCAAGAACACAGTGCCAGACAGAGGGAACAATGTGAGCGACAGGAAAGGTGGGGATGAGCTCAGCTTTTTGGAGGACAGCAAAATGGAATGGCGGGGATGAGGCTGGCACGGTAACCAGTGGCCAGACCATATCAAGTGCTTTCTGGACCAGAGTGAGATGTTTGGAATGTCACAGGTGGACACTGTTGAAAGAAGGACTTCTGTGAACATGAGCCTGGGCTGGGGCCCAAAAAAGGAAGAAGGGTCTGGTTCTTTTGTTCCTTCAACAAATGTTGTGGTGGTGTGAGTAGTAGGGGCATGCATAGGTACTGCCCTTTCAGAGCTGCTATGTAGAAGGCCAAGTGGGCAAGGTGGTGGTGGTTCAGCAGGAGCCAGGAAGTAGGCGGTCAGAACTGGCCGTGAGTCTGGGGGATTTCCTAGCTGGGATGCCCATTTCTAGCTTATTGGTGTCTCCCATGAGCCTAAGGCAGAGTTGCTCACCTGCCCCACACTGGTGAGTAACTAAAGGAATTTAACTAATTAGGGCCTGAGGAGTAGAGATGAAACCGGATGTGCTGAAAGACTTTCATTACTGCACAGTTAACAGGCTCCTTGCCTGGGGCTGCTTGAGACCAGAGCGTCCCCAAGCCCTGGACCTGACCTGGAATGGGGCGCTGAAGGGTGGGGGGACAGACTAGGGCACTAGGAGGGTCTGTCCTTCCCTTGTGCAGATACACACCCAGGGCATGCCTTGATTCCTGGTATCTGGCCTATTTGTCCCTGCCTCCTTACCCTGGATCTCACCCCCACCCCAGGTCAGCAGTAGGCTCTGTGGTGGCTTATTCGGGGCTGTTGAGACTTTTGCTTTGGGAAGTGGTTCAGAGGGTAGTTAGTTGTAAGCCTAAAATTACTGGCCCTGGAGTCAGATTGCCCCACTGCACCATTGATAAACTGTCCATTTAGGATAGATTAGTAACTTCTCTAGACCTATTTTCGTATCTATGAAATAACTCATTGGTATGAGTTGATACTGATTCATAGCAGCCTCCATTGGGTTTCCAAAGAGGTAAATCTTGCCCCATCTTCCTTCTATGGAGCAGCTGGTAGGTTTGAACTGCCAACCTTCTGTTTAGCCGTCAAAGCCCATAGGCATTGCACCACCAGAGCTCCTTATCTATAAAATAGGGGAGATAACAATACCCACCTCACAGTGTGGATTACACCTCAACATAAAGAAAACAAAAATCGTCACAACTGGACCAATAAGCAGTCTCACGATAAATGGAGAAAAGATTGCAGTTGTCAACGATTTCATGTTACTTAGTTCCACAATCAACACCAATCCTTCTGAGGAGTGGCTGGTGGGTTTGAACAGCCAGCCTTCTAGTTAGCAGTCAAATGCCTTATGCACTGCGCCACCAGAGCTCCCCCAATGGAAGCAGCAGTCAAGAAATCAGACGACGTATTCGACTAGGCAGATCTGCTGCAAAGCACTTCCTGAAAGTGCTAAAGAACAAAGATGTCTCCTTGAGGACTAAGGTGTACCTAACCTGAGCCATGGTATTTTCAGTAGTCTCATATGTTTGTGAAAGCTGGACAATGAATAAGGAAGACCAAAGAAGAGTTGATGGTTTTGCATTGTGGTGTTGGTGAAGAATACTGAAAGTACCATGGGCTGCCAGAAGAACAAATAAATCTGTCCTGGAAGAAATGCAGCCAGAATGCTCCTTGGAAGCAAGAAGGGCCAGACTTCGTCTCACCTACGTCATGTTGTCAGAAGGGACCATTCCCCGGAGAAGGATATCATGGTAAAGTGGAGGGGCAGTGAGAAAGGGGAAGGCCCTCAATGAGATAGATTGACACAGTGGCTGCAACAATGGGCTCAGGTATAGCGAGGATTTTGAGGCTGGCGTAGGACCGGGCAGTGTTCCATTCTGTTGTCCATAGAGTTGCTATGAGTTGGAGCCAACTCAAAGGCACCTAACAACAACAACAACTCACAGACTTGCAATAACCCGTGTTAAACGTTTAGACAAAACCTCTTGCTGTCAAGTCGCTTCTAATCATAGCAACCCTATAGGGCAGAGTAGAACTGCCCAGTAGGTTTCCAGAGCTGTAATCTTAATGGAAGCAGATAGCCTGACCTTTCCCCTGCGGAGAGGCTGGTTGGTTCAAATCATCTACTTTTTGGTTAGCAGCCGAGCACTTAACCACTGCACCACCAGGACTCCTTTTAAGTATTCAGAGCAGTGTCTGATAGGTAGTGTGCCCTGGGTGATATGAATGATTTAATAGTTCATTGATTCATTTGTAGTCCCACTCCCTTCCTTGATGGCTTCATTGGGGGAGCTGGCCCTGCTAGGTGGGGTGCTCCCTCCTGCCAAGGTGCCCTCACAGTCTCTCCTCCTGGCCCAGATGCTGACCTGACGTTTGACCAGACGGCCTGGGGAGACAGTGGTGTGTATTACTGCTCTGTGGTCTCGGCCCAGGACCTCAAAGGGAACAACGAGGCCTACGCAGAGCTCATCGTCCTGGGTAAGTGTAGGGCAGCATCCTGAGGGCCTTGAGAGGGCGACGGGAAGGATGGAATGGGGCTGCTGCTTTCGTCTACTGCGTCTGCCCTCCGCCCTCCCGCTTGCTCTCTGGCCTCCTGTCGCTTGCTTTGCTCCTCCTTCATGGCACCACCAGTCACATGGGCTTCCCTGTGCCCTCCACCCCAGGCAGGGTCCCCCCTCAGCTTTTCAAATCTGACAGAGTCAAACGCAAGAGTGGAGAGATCTGGGGCTTCTACCTCTTCCTAGTCCCATTTTTAAAAAATACAGAAATGGTCAGAGTTGATTGGTAGTGAGGGAGGGAGGGATTGTGTGGATAATTGAGAGGAGGCTGGGGCTGCCTTCTGCCACATTCACAGGGCCACGTATCACCCCAGAACCCCTTGACATAGCACAGGGACTTTGTCCTCTCTCCTACTGGGATGGCTCTTTATGGCTTATGCAGTGAACACTTCACTCAGATGAAACAGACTTCGGATGCCCAGGGACAGGGTGGGGTCAGCCAACAGTCCCTGTCCAGCCCAGGACCTCATGCCATGTGCAGAGGCCTTGTTGCCATGGGCCAACACATATAGTCTTGTGTGATACAGGCTATATGTGAGACTGCTGGACAGCATACTGCCAACACTGCATGCGTGGTGCATGGCGCTGCATGTGTGATTGAGCACACATGATGGGGGCACATCCCAGGATGCTTGGGCCACCTGGATGCATGTACCTGGGACCCAGACAGCCTCTGTGTGTCCTTTGGTAAAATGCACAGCCTGCATCAGCAGTTCTCAAGATGTAATCTCAGGATGTGTTACACTCTGACGACTTATTGAGGACCTCAGAGAGCTTGTGGTTGTGTGAAATAGCTCTAGGTATCTCTCAAGTTAGAAATGACAATCGGAAAAACATTAAAGTGTAAGCACACACTCCGTTAGCCATCACTGATGATGTCGTCGCGTGTCATGTAGCCTCTGGAAAATTGCACCCGACAGTCATGATAGAGTGAGAGTGAGAAAGGCAGATAGCATCATTGTATCGTTATGAAGAGATAGCCTTGAGAACCAGATGAGGCTTGGAGAACTGCTGATCTGGATTCCAGAACCCCCTCGAGGGCTGGGCATGTGTAGAGTGCACGAGCTCTTGCTGTGGAGTCCGGGTGTATGTGTGCCCTGGGTGATAAACTGCCTGGATGCCTGTGGGGCACAGAGCACCATTGGCACCTGAGGGGAGGCATTAACTGGGACACAGAGCATGAGTCTGTGGCATGTGATGGAATGCACGAACCAAGACAGAACCCTGTGGGTCCCAGAACCAGGGCCACATTGTGACTTTCCCAGGCTATAGGTACTTTTGCTTTGGTGGGCCCCTCCCTCCATAAAGAAAATACTTGAAAGTATGTTTCATGATTACATTTTATAAAGACAATTTGTTATTATATTTTCAATCTTTATTAACGTTCCTTCTAATTTTAAAAGAAAACACACATTTTCTTGGGCCCCTGAAAGTATTGTGGGCCCAGGGGCACTGTGCCTGCAGTACATAATGGATTAGTTGGCCTTGTGCAGAACCATCCCTGTCACATGGGATGGATCCCTTGGGGATGGTAGGACCCGTGTATGTCACACAGATAAAGGATCCAAACTAGATCGGATCTTCAGAACCCCATGGAATACGGGTCAGAGAGACTCCCTTGTTGCATGAGAAAGGGGGTGTATTATGTGATGGAAACCTTCCGGCAAATAGCTCCTGCATCTGGGCAGGGGATGGAGGGCAGGAACCGCATGCCAGGACCCTCCTAGGACATCAGCCCTTCTCCCACATCAGAGTCGCCTTCATTCAACCTAGATCAGCCTAGAGCTGGGTTTCCAGGGCAGGGTGGCCTGGGCTGGCTCTTGGCCAGCATAATCTCCTGTTTCTCTTTTGTCCCTCCAGGTAGGACCTCGGGGGTGGCTGAGCTCTTACCTGATTTTCAGGCGGGGCCCATGGAAGGTATGGGGCGGGGAGTGGAAGCCTGAATGAGGCTTCCCTTGGGAGTGCCCCCACCCACCATTTACTGCTTCTGTCTCTAGTAACTATTCTCCCTCTTCCTAAACACTGCTCACTGCAGGCCTCCCACTAACCCCACCCAGTCCGCAGCATCTAGTGACCTGGCTCTGGGCTTTGGGGTGGCTGAAGAGCCTTGGTGTAGGCAGGGGTCCTGTGACTGGGGCTTGTGCCCCTTCCTGGGGGTTTGGATATGGGCACCTAGCTCTCTCTCCTGTCTCTGCCATCGCCTGTTGCTTTATGCTCTGTCAGCACGCACCCAGGGGGAGTTCCCCCGTTTCTGGCCCTGCCTGGGACGTACAGGGTAGGTATACTGTTGCTGCTGCCCTGGAGAACCCGGTGGGGGCTGCAGCTTCCCTGACAGCTTTCCAGTAGCCCCCCACCCCAGCTTCCTCACAGGCCTCCAGCTAAGGGCCTGTTCTTGTCTCTCTGCAGACTGGCTGTTCGTAGTGGTGGTCTGCCTGGCCGCCTTCCTCTTCTTCCTCCTCCTGGCCATCTGCTGGTGTCAGTGTTGCCCCCACACCTGCTGCTGTTACGTCAGGTGCCCCTGCTGCCCGGACAAGTGCTGCTGCCCAGAAGCCTGTAAGTGCCCCTCATATGACCACCCCACTCAGCCTACTCCCTGCTGGGCCCGAGGGGAGGAGGTGGCCCTCTGCCGGCCTGCCGGAACAGTGCCACTGGTCTGGCTGGAGGTTAGGAGTTTAGCAGCTTGGGAGAAAGCAGGCCAAGGAAGACCTGCTGTTTTAGATAAATCATTCACTTACTTCAGCTTTTAATTTTCATTTATTCTTCTTCTTTTGAAAGTGTTAACACATGGTTAAAAAAAAAATTCAAATAATACAAAACATTAGTCACTGAAAAGTAAATATCCCTTCAGGAACAAAATCTTAAGTGAAAGTGTTAGCGAAGAATACTGCATGGAGATCTGTCTTGGAAGAAGTACAGCCAGAATGCCCCTTGGAAGCAAGGATGGCAAGATTCTGTCTTCCTTACTCTGGATGTGTTAACACGAGGGACCAGTCCCTGGAGGACATCCTACTTGGTGAAGCAGAGGGTCAGTGAAGCAGAGGGTCATCCTCAACGAGACGGATTGACACAGTGGCTGCAAGAGTGGCCTCAAACACAGCAGTGACTGTGAGGATGTTCAGAGTTGGGCAGTGTTTCATTCTGTTGTACAAAGTATCAGTATGAGTGAGAACCAACTGGACAGCACCTACCAACAAAGACGTTTAAGAGCCCTGGTGGCGCAGTGCTTCAGTGCTCAGCTGCTAACCAGAAGGTCGATGGTTCAGGTCCATTAGCTATTTCCCAGGAGGAAAGACCCGGCAATCTGCCTGTGTATGGTTACAGCCTGCAAACCTTTGGGGCCATTCTAAGATGGGTTAGAGGCAACTCGTTGGCTCACGACAGCTTTGTTTAAGGACATACCTAGTATGTCACAGTGGCTACCTGTGATGTTAGGAGTGGAAGTTGGAGCAGGGGTATATAGGGGAAAGAAACAAACACGATAGAACATAAAAGAACAGGAAGTCCTTTTCCTACGCTGCCCCATTTCCCCTCCTTGGGAACAAGAGCTCTTAGCAGTTCCTTGGATTCCTTCACAATCTAGATATAACAGCGTCTCCGTGCACAGTAAAGTAATAGGTGATTGTTGTCAGCAGGGCCAGTGTAGCTTTGAGGCCCAGCTTGATGACTTACTTGCTTGGACGCTGAGTGGGTGACATCCCTTCTCTGAGCCTTAGTTTCCTCCTCTGTAAAATAGGGCTTCTGGCCGAGTCCTGGCCCTGGGTCACTGCTGACGCTGATGGCAGTGATATTCTAACAGCTGATAGGCAGGGAATGTTTCACACAGGCCACGCCTCACTAAGGGCTGTACATGTGAGTTCACCAAATCCCCAGAACTTGGTAGGCAACGTAGTTCCTCCAAGTATTGCTCCCTTGACAGATAGCACCCTCCGGAGGCTAAGGCCAGCCATCCCCTTTCTTGTCATTTTTAGTGGGGAGCTGCTTGCTCAGGCAATGGGCATTAGTCCATTTCACAGATGCGGAGGGAACCCCAAAGGCTGTGACCAAATTTGCAGTTACCCCACAAATTAAGGCTGGGGTTGAAGCCAGCACTGCAGATACGTGGCCCAAGGCCACATGCCCTCCATCCTGAGGCCTGGTTAACTCCCTGACAGGGTGTGTTACTTCTGCCATGGCCACAGCCCCTGTTGACCCTTCAGGGAGCTGCAGCTCCCGCTACCAGTCAGTGAAGCTTTACTACTGAGTAAAGGCTGATGTGGGCTTCTTGTTATAGGCGGGGGTCAGCACTTAGCTCTTGCTTCTGAACAAGTGAAGGGAACCTTCTTGAGCCCATCTCCGCCCACCATTTTCCTGTTGGAGTCCAAGAAGAAAGGGACTTGCCTAGGGCCATTGACTTTGCTGCAGGAACATAGCTTCTTGCCATGGGAAGGAAGCAGCAAGGGGGCTTTGGCTTTGAGCTCTCAGTAGGAGTGGCCCAAGGGAAACTAACTAGAAGCTGCCAAGGCTAAGGCACTTCAACTCCTGAGGCCCTGGCATTCTTGCCTTAGATTCATTCCTATGCATCTGGGTCAAGGACCCAACAGGCATGAGGGGGAGTGGGCATGGGGACCCCCCAGATGATCCCTTTTTTAGAGCTGGGGATATATGACACCAGCCTGTGGAAACAGCGGTGGATCCAACACACAGGCCTTGCCTAATGGGGCAGATGCATAGCTTTACCCGGTGTCGTAAGAACACAGGTCCAGAATGTTCAGATAGGGTGGCTGGAGAGTTGGAATTTGATGTCAAATCTCATTTTGATCAGAAATGTTGGCAAACCACCACACTATCCAAACAAAACACACTGGCCTGTCAGATGGGGACTGCCAGTGTGTATGCCCACCCTGAAACCTGTGAGGAGTCACACAAGAGGTGCAGACTCAATGAAGCTGAGGTCTCCGAGCCTCAAGGACCCTGCAGAAATGGGAAGAGGACTGTCAGAGGCCTGATTGCTTAGGGAGACTCCACAGCTGGGGAGCTGGGAAGAAGGTCCCGACACCCTACAGAAGCCCTGGTGCAGTGCAGAGTGGCATGGCTCCTGGCCATCTTCTTACGCTGATCGTGTGTCCCCCAGTGTATGCTGCCGGCAAAGCAGCCACCTCGGGAGTCCCGAGCATCTACGCCCCCAGCACCTATGCCTACCTGTCCCCTGCCAAGACCCCGCCACCACCAGCCATGATTCCCATGGGCCCTGTTTACAACGGTTACCCTGGAGATTTCGACAGGAATAGCTCAGGTGAGGCCTGGGTGAGCCAGGAGCAGCTGGGGCAAGGGGTAGGCTGGGCATTTGGGCACCAAGAGTGATCGGGGGCTGGAAATAAGAGTGGGTTAGGAGGGGGCTGGAGGTATGGGGTGGCTTCAGGTGGGCAGCCACTGACAGCCAGTCTCCCCCAGTCGGTGGCCACAGCTCCCAGATACCCCTGCTTCGTGACACGGACAGCAATGCAACCTCTGGTGAGAACTAATTCTTACAAAGTTGTATGTGCCTTTAGGGAAGGGGCTGGGTCAGCTTTCATCCACCCAAACCAGTGCCTGTTACCTCTACCCCTGCCTCTAGAGGTCCGAAGTGGTTTCCGGATTCAGGCTAATCAGCAGGATGACTCCATGCGGGTTCTGTACTACATGGAGAAGGAGTTGGCCAACATCGACCATTTGCAACACATTCCCCACAATGGCCGTGTGGAGCGAGGTGAGGAGGAAACTCGGGGGCTTGAGGGAAGAGAGGAAATCATACCTGCCTCATACACCATGATGTAAGGCTGGGGGTGAGGCCTGGACTGCAGGTACCTGGCCCAAGGCCACATGTCCTTCATCCTGAGGCCCCGTTAACTCCCCAACATAAGGTGTGTTACTTCTGCCCTGTTGGCCCTTCAGGGAGCTACAACCCCCACTACTCGGGAGGCTTTACTACTGAGTAAAGGCTAGTGGGACATATCTCTCCTTCACAGTGCCACAGTGGGAAGTGGGCAGGATCCTGTATGTCAGTAGATGAGAGACCTAGGGTCCCCCTAGACAGAGTATGAGCCATGTGGGTGCCAGGGCTCCTGACATTAAGTCCTGGCCTCTTCCCTGCAATTAGTGACATCCCCTTCTCTACAGCCCTGAGTGAAGTCACCTCCCTCCATGAAGACGACTCACGATCCCAGCCTTTCAGGGGCCCTGTTGTCACCCCAACCCGGGATAAGGAATGGGGTCGACGTTCCCCCCGGAGTCCCAGGAGGTGGGAGCAGGAGCCCCCAGAAGAATTCCCAGGGGGTGGCTGGAGGGTCGGGCGGCCCCGGGCCCACTCTGTGGATGCTTTGGATGATCTCCCTCGGCCGGACTCCACAGAATCAGGGAGGTCTCCCCCAAGTAGTGGGAGGAGAGGCCGGGCCTATGCACCCCCAAGAAGCCGCAGCCGTGATGACCTCTACTGTCAAGATGACTCAAGGGACTTCCCACACTCCTGGGATCCCCACTGTGAGGAGTTCAGGTCTGGGGACCGCCCACACGCAGATTCCAGGGCCCGCCACCATCGCTCCCGGAACTCTCAGGACAGCGCCAGGTCTGGGAATCCTCAATATGACAGGTGGCTGCTGGAGGAAGCCTTGAGGAAAAAGGCGGCAGGGGAAAGGAGGAGGCCGTACAAGGAGGAAGAGGGGGCCTACTACCAGTCAGAGCCGCCCCCTTATACAGAGACTGACTCTCAGGCCTCGAGGGAGCGGAGGCTTAAAAAGGTGAGCACCCCTCCTGACTCGGGACCTTTTCCTGGACCCCGCTCTTCCAGTCACCCCAGTTCACTGTCTCCTCTCTTCTTCCCTTGCAGAATTTGGCCCTGAGTCGGGAAAGTTTAGTTGTCTGATCGCCTGTTTTCTATGTAGCTTTTGTACTTTTTTTTTTTTTAATTTGAGGAGAGAATATTGATTATGGTCTTCTCCCTCCAATATCTAATAAAATTTATCAAGTGCCTGAGTCTTGAGGAGTTTGTTTTGCTGCGCGAGGTGGGGAGAGGAGGAGCCCGGACAGCTGGCCCTTCTGGGTGTTTGTAAAATGCGGCTGAGTGTCTCCAGATCTCCCTTCCCCCTCCAATCGCGCCCGCTCCCGTCCGGTCACCAAAGTAGTAAGTCCTGGGTGAAGAGCAAAGGACCTAGTGAGCCGTCTCCCTCGCCGCCGGCCCCGAGTACGTGCCCCACGTCGCCTCCGCCAGGCCCTGCGTGCGCGCCCCGGCCCCGCCCAGACGTACGCATGCGCCTGGGCCTCCGCCTTAGCGCATAACCACCATGTCGTCGGGAGCGCGCGCGCGCGCCCCTCTCCTCTTCCACCCCATTCACCACCCACCCCCACTCCCCGACCTACTTTATGTCTGCAAACCCCAGCAACCTGCTTCATCCCTGGCGACCAGATTCCTCTTTGGATCCCCCAGTGTTCCATCCGGGCGCACGTTCCACCAGCGCAGAGCGCTGGCTGGTGTCTGGCGGCCGCGGGACACCAACAACCCGGCGCCCCACCGAGACCCGGGCCCGCGCGCGCCCGCCGCCATCCGAGACAGACAGAGCGCGCGCTCCCCCGGGACTGCCCTCCCCCC